GATGATGATGGTGATGATGGTGATGATGGTGATGATGATGGTGGTGATGGTGATGGTGATGATGATGGTGATGATGGTGATGGTGATGATGATGGTGATGATGATGGTGATGATGGTGATGATGGTGATGATGATGGTGGTGATGGTGATGGTGATGATGATGGTGATGATGGTGATGGTGATGATGATGGTGATGATGATGGTGATGATGGTGATGATGGTGATGATGATGGTGGTGATGGTGATGGTGATGGTGATGATGATGATGATGGTGATGAGAGCAGTAACAGCAACAATCAGCACCGACTCAGCCTTTCTCAGCTCACCGTGCCGAGCGCTCCCACGCCAGGCAGCGGGCTCAGGGCTTTGCACGCATCGCCGGTGAACCCTCACTGGAGCAAGCGCTCTCATCGCCCTCATTTCATAGGTAGCTCCGTGCGGGGGTCACAGAGGTTAAGTGACTTGCCCAAGGTCACGGGAGCAGCAGTTGGCAAAGGGAAGTGTATGCGCCAGAGTCGGAGAACAAAGGCGAGAGTCTCACAGCCGCCTGGCTCAGTGCAGGTGCGTTGCGTTTGTTAACGAGAATGATAGTTCGCCCCCGGACAACCACCGGACCCCCCAGTGGAGCCCGAGAGAAGCATCAGGCACCTTCTGGCTCGGACTGGTACCCAGCTCTGTCGCTGACCAGGCTGGCTGTCACCCCTTCGTGGGTCACCATCCCTTCGCGCTCAGAGTAGAACAGGTGTCCCGCCTTCCTCAGAAACTCCATTTGACCAATGGCCAGGAAATGGACTGGGTTTTGTCTTACTGTTTCTATTCCTGGTCGCAAAGATAACTCGTCTTCATCACCACAAAAAAGGAGTGCCCAACCAAGCAAGGGAAATGCTACAGCGCACGGCCCCCCACCGTTATTCCGGGCTGTATGTCCTGACCGGTCTCCCCCGTGAGAGTGAAGGCGGCAGGTGTGTTTAATAAAACCGAGGCGCTCCTTGTTCCCGGCTTCTTTACTCACCACGTACCTTGTATCTTCTTAAATCATCTTCACAAATGGGTTTCCGGTGGCCATGTGCCATGCCATCGTCGGGGCGTACGCCGATCTATCTAACCAACCCCATGTTATTGGATAATAAAGCTGTCTCCAGTTTTTATGGTTAAAAAAAATTCATGATGAACTTCTCAGGAAAGAAATACTTACGGACATTCCCGATTATTTCCTTCGGACCAGTTCTCCAACGTGGAATTGTCAGATTCAATGATTGGCACAGTTTTAAAGCTTTTTCTATATTTTGCCAAACCCTCCTCCTAAAAGGCTTTATTTTTATTCCAGTCGGCAGTTTCTGAGATGTCCTACTTTCTCATTAGCAATAGATATCATTGTTTTTAATATATACATTTGCTAAGTCAGTGAGTGAAAACGATATTCAACTTGCATTTCAGTGATGAAAGTCTTTCTTTTCAAGCATTTACTGAGCAGGCTTTGGGACCTCCAAAATATTTCAAACCTGGCAATTCATTCACAGAAAGAGCTCTTGCAGAAAGCCGAGGATTGGGTGTTAGCTGTAGCATGACAGATATAGTTTTCTTTCTGTGTTTTTAAATATATCTTTATTGATTTCAGAGAGAGGAAGGGAGAGGGAGAGAGAGAGAGAAACATCAATGATGAGTCACTGATCGGCTGCCTCCTGCACGGCCCCTGCTGGGGATTGAGCCCGAAACCTGGGCCTGTGCCCTGACCGGGAATCGAACCGCGACCTCCTGGATCCTAGGTCGGTGCTCAACCGCTGAGCCACGCCGGCCGGGCTCATTTTTTGATCCTTTGGAGTTCCTGATGGTTTTCTTTTCCAATGATGACACACATTCAGTGAAATCAAATAACCCCGTTCCAGGGACATAAGCGAGTGGGTAAATCTATTCAGCTCCGTCGCACTCAAGGGCAAGGGGCTGTAAATAGCTTGAAAGGAGCGCGAGAGCAGACGGGGTGAGGAATTCACCTGTAAGACCCCAGCTCCTCCCCTCCGCTGCCTCGGTTCCCGTCTAGCCAGTCAGAAAGAGCAGGAAAAAAACGGATGTTCAAGCCCCTTGTACTTTTTGAAGCACATGGTATTTATTAGGCATTAACTGGCACACAAATATACGAAACAAGTACTTAGGTCTCCCCCACCCCCCTTAGCAACATAGGACAAAACCGCTGGAAGACGCTCGCGCACAAACACTCACACACTCGCACGTACTCGGACCTACTCAGCCTCGCACATTACCCTGTTCTTTTTATTAGGGTCGGTTAAAAAAAAAGAATTTATTTTTTTTTTAAATCAAGAAAGCAAAGCACATTCGAAAGAGGGAAGAAAAAAAAAAAGCCAACTTGGTATTTGAGTATCAATAAAATTAAAAGCTCTTGGCCAGCTCTCGTGCTGGATTTCATTTCATGTTATTACTTAATTAGAACTCCTATTTATAAATAAATAGTACCAGTAAAATATTACATCTGAAGAACCCTGCAATAACGTTTTACTTACACACTTTTTTTAAAAAAACAACAACAACAACACTGTTTTCTGCTTTCCGTAACCACAGTCTGGTGTCGGCACTGCGTGGGTCTCCCGGAGAGAACCGGTCCATGAGCGAGTCTTGCCCCCTCTTTAGAAATCGTGGCTTTGGCATCTGCATCCGGGGGGCCGCGGGCGGGAGGTTTGGAGGCTGGGGGGCTGGCTTTGTTTTTTAGCAGGACGAATATTTACTTTGGCTTTTTGGCGGCTCTTGTCAGCGCGGAGCTTATCACAGTTCTGCCCGCGTGGAAACCAGGGCTCTCTAAGTTTTTCCGAGCGAGCTTTCCGGCTGGGGAGCTAGAGGCCACGTTTTCAGCGACAGATGGCTGCAAAGACCCAGAGCTGGAAAAAGACGGGAGTGCTGAGTAAGATATGACGCCAGATGGAGTCCAAGGTCATCCTGACTCCCCTAGAAGGCAAACGGGGCTCCGTGGTGATGGGGAAGGCAGGACGCGATCAGAGAAAAGCTGGGGACACGGGACCTTTTCAGAAACATCCCTTGGAAGAGGTAGGTCATTTCTTAGTCAAGGGGAGAGTGGCGAATTTCGGTTTTAGGGGCGGCTTCGAGGAGGGGAACCGCACAAGTACATACTTTGAAACATACTTGCCTCAGACCTCCCCCGAAATAAGGGACTGGGTCCCGTTAAGAAAATTGAAAGAGAAAAAATATATTATTATTTATTATATAACAGTGTCAACATTAACACCAAGACAGGAAAGGACTCCAACTCCGAGTTAGGACAACACACTCAATGAGGCGAGACTCGCTGGAGACCAAAAGAAGGAATTGGGGAGGCCCTCCGGAGGTGGCGTGGACGTGGCCCGTGGACGGGAGTGGTGGTCGTGGTGGGGACGGGACTCAACTTTTTTTGTTTTTTTAAGTTTTGAGGCGAAACGACAAAGTCACATTTTTTGAATTGTGGTTTCAGGCTACTGATTAGATCAGTAAATGGGGGTCTCGCGTGCAGACGTGAACGTGGGTGAAATGAATCTTGTCCGTGGGTTCTCTCTGTGACTGTCTCTCTCCCTCTCTCCCGCTGTCTCTCTCTCTCTCTTTCTCTCTCTCTCTCCTCTCTCTCTAGCAAATGTCTGTTAGGAAGCAGGCCGCGCTTTAGCTATTCTCGCTCCACTCTGGCACCATGCCGACCCCATGCACAGAGTGGTACTGGTGTGGGGACAGGGTCCTTGGCACGCCGTGGGAGTAGAGGAACTCAGACGGCTGCAGGCCGCCAGGGGACTGCAGGCCAGTCTGGGGCCCACACTGCCTGACCACAGGCTGGTGGGCCACGGAGGTCTGGTGCTGGAACATGCCCTCTCCGAGCTGGGGGGAGCCGTGGTTGGCGATGCCAGCCAGCCGGGGCACCAGGGGCCCCGAGGTGAAGTGAGCCGAGAAGTGTTGGTAGGGTAGCCTGTCCATGGGCTGCACGGTGGTGACGGTGCAGCTGCTGTAGGAGGGCATGCTGGGCCACGTGTTGCAGCTGATGTCCTCCAGGCTGGGCACCGGCTCGCTGGGCGGCGCGGAGCTGGCGTACATGCAGGCCTGCCGCTGGGCTGACTCTGTCCTGTAGGAGGCGCTCAGGCCCTGCTGCTGGGGGTAGCTGGGCCGGTAGAAGGGGTCCTCCTCGCTGGGCGATGTCTCCATGTAGGGCTTCTTGTAGGGATGGTCTGTGGTGGAACATTCTTCGTCTGCTAAGACAGGAGCAGAGAGACCCGTGAGGCCAGGACCAGCCACCCTATGACTAAAGGCAGACTCAAGTCCCCTAGGACCGAGTCCGGCCTCCCTTCCGACACAAAGGGGTGGACCGTCACCGTGGGGACCTGGCCATGGAGTTCTCGGCCCACGGTCTGACCTTTCTGAGCTCGGTCTCTCTGTCTGCAATACGGAAAGGGTAACGATGGCATTTTTCTACACGGGGAATCGTGGGGAATGAAATGAGAGAACGCGTGTTGGTCCAGAGCGCGGCACAAGGAAACACTCAATAAATCAGAATTATTGTTCCTGTTATCTTCCCTCCTCCCCGGCCGTAAATTCCACGAACGCAGGGAATTCCCAGCACCTGGTTCATACCTGGTAACAAAAACAGTAATAAAACCAGCGCTAACAGTAAAAACCACACACCGAGTGCTGTAGGTCCTCTCCATGAGATAGCCTAGCATTTAATTTCCACAGCAGCCCTACGGGGTGGGTCCTGCAATTATCCCCATTCTACAGAGGACAGAGAGGAGACACAGGGGTTAATACACTTGCCGAGGCCTCGTGTGGCTGACAGACCGTGGAGCCGGGATCAGAAGCCAAGCAATCTAACTCCCAAGTCCCCGCTCGCCAATGCCGTGCAGCAAGGAAAGAGGGCACGCAATAAATACCTGTGCAACGGATGGAGGGCAGATGGATGGACAAGTGGGCAAATGGACAAGCAGATGGGAGCGTGGATGAATGGATTTCCAAACCCTCTCCTGGAGCCTTACGCGAGCGCCTGGTTAATATCTGCTGAGTCAGCACAAGTTAACGTGTCGCTGCTGAGCGGGCCCCCGCCGCTCCCGAGGCACAGGTGCGCCCTAGCGCGGGGCAGTGGGAACGTTCTGACCCCTTCGGGAACTAACGAAAGTGCTGGGCTCTCTCCTAGAGAGCAATCCTTTGACTCTGGACTACATCGCCAAGCAGCTCCCCAGCCGGGGAGGGCGGCCTGGGTGTGGGGTCCACCCCGACACCTTCGTTTTCCTCGTTGTCACCGTGACACCCACAGGTAAGTCAGAAATCTCCCCAACCAAACATAGCTACGCCAGGGCTGTACCCACCGAGCAGCCTGCACGTTTATTTTCAGCTATACTCTTTCTGGGCCACCTCTGGGACCCAGAGGACGCCCAAGGATTTGTCCGAACAAAAAAGTGAAAAAGGGCAGCCACCCTTCCAGGTGTCTGTCTATGTCATGCCAGATGTTTGAAGACACCCCGAAGAGCGAGTGACCACGCTGGTCACCTTTCAACTGGGCGTTGTTTTGGCATCTTGAAGACATGGCCAAGACTCCATTTTTTTAAAATTTTTTTTTTTTGTCCTGGTCGCCTCCCCCTCGATTTCTTCCCTCCAGTCTTCCTTCCACCCTCAGATCCATAAATCTGAATGTTTCCATTGTTGCTGGAGTCGGAACCTTCAGGTTTTCCATTTAACCAGGGCGTTCCCCTTTCAGTAATACAGCTGCAGGGTACCCTTGGCAGGAGGGGGGAAAAAAGGCAAACCAACCATTCCGAGTTTCTGATCCCCTTCCAGGTCTGTTACAAGTAAAAAAAAAGGGGGGGGGGGACAATAATATGCAAAAGGCTGGAGCCCATTTTGGAAAATCGTAAAATTACACATTCCAGTCTTTCGTGCCCCAAAGATCTGCTGCGGAGTCCGGAGAAAGGCCCGATCCTGGCTCATTGATGAAAGCGGGTCCCGAGCATTCTCAGATTCCTCTCGAACCTCACCGCATTGTAAAGAAATTCCAAAGGCAGCTTCCAAATCTCAGCTTGCGATAAATGCTTTGGATGGCATCTCTGCGTTTATTTCGATTACGGTTTGGTTCCTGTCGTTTTATTGGGAGCCCGACAACTGATCAACTCTCCCAGACAAGTCATGTTTACCGTCCACGGTCAGGGAAGGAAGGGGCTGTAGGCCCCGGGCAAGTCCTGGGTGAGATGAGCCCACAGCTCGGTTTCTGGAAGGTCTGCGAAAAGCGCGATCCTGGGACCCACCCGAGGACCTTGGAGAGCAGTAAAGCTCCTCCTGCTTCTGACCACCGAGCTCTGCACAGCGATGGGGAAAACCCTGGTCCCTTGCACTTTTCTGGATGCTGTTGATTCTGGAAAAAGTGGCTTTAATGACGAATCCAGAACATGGATTTTAGGGCACGGAGTTCTGTCTCTGGCTCTCGCTGGCTATGTGACCTTGAACGAACCACTGGGACCATGCCAATCTCAGCTCTTGACTGCACATGACGAAGATACAGAAATTTCGTGTAGGAATCGAGGTCCTAAGAAGCGCAGTCTAGCTTCTGTCTTCCTTGCGCGTAAAGGAAGTGTTTAAATCTTGTCTAAGTAACTGGGGTCGACTCTCTTTTATCTCTCTTTCCCCTTGGAAGACTGGACAGCTGCTCAGTGAAGGTCATCCAATACCTGAAGGTGTCTGGGTGGGTCCCAGAGCTGGGAAGCTCACGGAGCTGCTTTCAGATCACTAATCCCATTGAGCAGGTATCACCACCATTCTCGAATGGGTCATTTCCCTTGGCGGCCGAGTTCATTCAGACCGAGACCCCAGAGGCGGATGGTGAGCAGCCACTGCCTTGCTGAGTGATCTTCAGCAACACAGAAGTGGAACTACCGGTAATCCAGGCCTCTGACTCACCAGACAGTGCTCTTTCTGCTGGACGGCCCCAGCCTTTGAGCTTAGAGAAGGTGAAAGGGTGGTAACCTTGGCTCAGATGGATGGATTGG